ATATATATATATATATATATATATATATATATATATATATATATAATGTCTTGCGAGCGGTAATGGCCGCGAAACCAGTCGTGTGCTTCTAGGACTTTTCATGCAGTTATTCATATACTACTCATTACAAAAACACTGAAAATCGGCGGTGGCGTCCAGTTGGTTGAGGCTAGCCATGATTCTTTGAGGCTTATTCATCTCAGGTTCATTCCCCGAGCCTCCAATGAGATTGACATTACATAATATAAATGATATTTCTGGTTGGCTTCCTCTAAACAACGGAAAAACGTTTCCATACGTTTCACCTTTCCTGTAGGGTACAAGGATCGATCTGTACGTGATTTCTTATGAATATTTGCCCGTATAACACTTGACCTAATAGGTACTACTCTTCTGAGCTGGACGTTAGATAGCCTTCCGTTCGTGTTCAGTTTATCCCATTGGGTGAGTTTAATTGGTTAATAGCCACTTATCGGTTTCTTGGAAACCGATACACTGGAACTCCCATCCGGAGAATCTCTCACAGCCAAGTTCTGCACGGGTGGCTGGAACATTTTATCGCGTCGATGCTACCACCCAATACCTCCTGGTTGGTATTCGCGGCTTTTATTATGTCTCATTTTCCCGAATATGAATCATACGAGTGACAAAATTTCTCTTTTTTCATCATTTTCTCTCCCACGTTATGTTTATATTGAGTTCATTCAGACCACTCTGAACCAACTCTTTACTTTTGTCCTGTCTATTTACATCAAAACAAATCATAGGCGATTGGAATGGTTCAAGAGCAGAATCCCCTGTTTTGGTCAAATCTCGGGCGGTTGTATTGGCCACGTCTGGTAAGTAAAATTGGAAGAAAATACTTGACTCCGATCTCTTCTTCATTTTGCACTCATTTACCAGCCTTCTACACGTTTTGTGGGTATTATATAGAGATAATATGCCAAAAGAGGGAGATATGCGGAATGGATTTGCGGTTCATCTGTTTTCTTTTCGTTCAAGCTGGTCATTTTCACGACACATTAAGTGGTCTCCGAAATGTAGGCATGGAATGGTCAGCTGGTGAAAAGCTGTGCGATTTGGAGTACACTGACGACATCGTCTGCTTGTTCGAATCTATGGAGGATGCACAGAAAGCACTTGGCAGATTAGCAAGTTCTGTCCCTCCCTTTCGGCATGTGCTTTGCACCTTCAAAGTGTAAAGTGATGCTACAAGACTGAGTGTCGCTGAGTTCTGTTCTGAAACTAGGCGGTCAGGAATTAGCTGAAGTTGACTGCTTCGCATAATTGGGTAGCTGCGTGACCAACGACGGTAGCGCACATTTCCACGGCTCGAGTAGCGTACACAGGACTCAAACACCTGTGGCGGTGACGTGACGTGTCATTAAAGTTGAAAAGTCGTGTATAATGCGCCACTGTACAATCGGTTCTGGTTTACGGTTGTGAGATCTTGAATTTGCGGGTAGAGGACATCCGTGGCTAGCGCTTTTCGATGATCGATGCTTACGTAGTCTGGCCCAAGTGGGATGGAGTGAGCGGGTTAGTAACTTAGATTTAAGTCGACGGGTGTTTGTGAATGCATCGAACTCGCTATCTGATCGAATCCAGCTCAGTAGACTCCGTTGGTTAGGACAGGTTTTGTGTATATCCGACGGTCAGCTACCGCAGCGCGCCTTATTTGTGGTGGCTTTTGCAGACTAGAGAAAGCCACTTGGAGACCAGCAGATGACGTGGAGACGAGGCATAAAGAAATGCACAGAGCGATTAGGTAGAGTAGGTGTCTCTTGTCTTCCGGGATGGGGTCCAAAAGACTCCGAAACCGCATGTTTGGAGACACTGAAGGTCATGGTAGCAAGATGAGAGTAATGGCGATCTTGCTGTCATCAGACCAGTATGCTTGAAATAATGTGAATGCACTGTGCCTAAACATTCTCACTTATCTTGTATGCATTATGAGTTTAGTAATGATCAATGAAGTTCGCTTCACTCTACTAGGCTATATAATGATGATAATGATGATATCATTTGCACCAAGCGCCGTCGTTGTTCTGCGCGATCACGCTCTTCTGTGCATTTTGTTCATACGGACCACCGATGAAACTACTAGTAGTTTCCAGTTTCGCACAAAAAATCGGGGTAATAGAGCGCGTTTCACCTCACGTGTAACCCAAAAAGGTGTGTGTGCATACACTACCGTTCAGCATCAGCGTATCGCACCTTTCATTTTGGGCCCCGCATGATGTTCTGTTTTTAATCCCACGGTCGAGCTATACTTATCGGTTGAAGAGTTCGTTCGAGTCCTGACACAGGAACACAAAAGGTAGGGACTGCTGATGAGTCCAAAACAGGACGAAACAGCTGTCCACTGCTCTTTGTCGGTTATCACAAACGTTTCCACCGTATTTAGTTCACTTCGCTCCACAAGATTTGAAAAAGTTCAGCTTAGAATACCTTGTGAAATTTTATTTTCATGCTCGATTAATCCCCGCACCGATCGAAGTTTCTTAGTCCTTGAACAAAGGAATTCGCCCGAAATCAATCGTAGTTTCTTCTTTGTTGAATAACAGATTTGATTTCATAGTCCGAGTGAGATGTATTCTCAGATGCAAGTAAAAATTCATGTTTAAAGAAGTCTTCATCACGGTTTGGATTATCAAGATGAGATGTGTGTATGTTTCAATCACCTTTTCAGTCGTCTCACTGTGAATTCATCTTCCGTTCCCTAGTGAATGTTTTCAGTTTCATATCACGAGTCTCACAGTTCGGATTATTGAAATTCGGTTTTTGTTTGAGAGCATATGCTTGAAATATTGCCGTTTTTGCATTTCTAGAGAAGTGAAAACGACCTTGGAATACAAAGGTGTACCTTCCGGACTCGCACTATCACGGATAAGATCTGAACGCACTCACTACACAGCAGCCTGTGTTGCACTTCAGCACTCACTACATGACACAACATCTACTAGTCACTCTTTTTCCAACCGCTACCTGCTTCGGCAAACATCGCTCGTCGTGGCAACCTATCCGGTGACATGCCTAACACATGCCCCAACCAAAGTAATCTAGGAAGGTCGACTACTTGCTCCAATGGACGAACGCGATTACCTGAAACTCTACGCCTAACCTCAGCAGTGCTCGTCCGGTTTCCCCACTAGACTCGTACAGTGCTACGTAGATAGCGGTGTTTGAACACCGATAGTCTATTTTTATCTTGTTCCCGTACAGGCCAAGTCTCTGCACCGTGGTGCAGGACTGGCCGAACNCTGCAGCATACACTCGACCCTTCACAGACAGCCGGATATCGCCATGGCGCCACCGGACTTCATTAGGTAATAATCAATTCTCCAATTTCTCTGAAGGGCCCAACATTGATTGCAGGATATCTTTATCTACCCAGCATAAATTAGCTTATGGCGAGTCAGTTTTGCTTCTATGAAGAAATTAACCATACTGAAAACAAATCACACGGAACTTTCCGCATAGACATTATCGTGTTTGCAACCCCGTACTGGTTATCGAGTGNACAGTGGACGGGATGGTCCCCATAGACGCGAACACCTGTTCAGTGATGGAAAACAATAACTCAGGCCCTGAGACTTGAAATGGCGAATCACATAAGGTTATTAAAGGTATTGAACCGGACAACAGAAAAGCTGCCTACCACTAAAGTTGGGTGGCAGTTACGAGGCTCGAGTCTCGAACTACACGGTGCAAAGCACACCGGTGGCAGTGAGTGAACCACTAAACCGCTACCACTAGGTGATAATCATTCCAGAATTAACTACAGCATTTTTTTCCTGATAACTGCATCTGTCATAAATTGTTCTATGTACACTCACCGTATGATCTTAATCCTATCATTTTTAGTCTAAATCTATCTATTTCTCTCCAATTTTCAGGGTTTCGGTTATAATGCCGGTCTTATTTTGTTGGATTTAAACAAGTTACGAACTTTGAATTGGAGACGAATTTGGGAAGATGTGTACACGGAGTTGGCTGATGCTCTTGGTGGAATATTGCCAACCGCAGAACAAGTTAGTCGTACGCTATTTCACTTTTTAACGACCATCTTCGTTGTATTCTACTCACAGAAATTCGTTCGCTTCGGGTAATTTGATCCCTGTTGCAAATCTATTTTTCACGAATTCTCATTACCAAATCTGATTTACGCTCGCGCGCACGCATACATGCACTGAAACTGTTACTGAGCTTTCGGCGTCAGTATCACCCACCTGGCATAATTTAATTCTTATTACATCGTTGTTACTTTTATCTATGCAGTATTTTGTTGCTGGTGAGAGAGAAAACTTTTGAATCTCTTTGCCTGATTAATGATGATCCTAAATTTTGTTTGTCCAACTCATTGGGAATGTAACGTAAAAAACCGGGGCACCCATCTTCCGATTCAGGACCATATTGTATTTGTCAGTTG